ATTCGTGTGCATGTGTCCTTATAGTAGAATGATTTATAATCCTTTGGATATATACCCAGTAATGGGATTGCTGGGTCAAATGGAATTTCTATTTCTAGGTCCTTAAGGAATCGCCACACTGTCTTCCACAATGGTTTAACTCAGTCCTCACAGCGATCCTATCGGGGAGGGGGTGCTGTTTCCGTCTGCACAAGTGTAAGCTGAGGCTAAAACATAAAACTCTTGCACTCAGTTGCAGACCTGATGTCTGGGTGAGCCAGGTCCAGGCCCAGATCTGAGCCCGAGGCCAGGACTATTCAGCCTCCACTATGTTACCTGGGCACCCAGGCCCTGTGGCACCGGGTGGCCCCAGCCTCACTTACCCCAGACAGATGAGAGCCTCCCATCTGTCCCAGGGCCCACCACCACTCTCTCCCTGCCCCCCAAAATCCTCCTGACCACAGTTCATAGCTCTCCTCTGCTCACTGGATCACCGACGTCCCCATCTCTGTGCCTTTTCCCTGCTGTGTCCTCCTGCTGAAATGCCCACCCTCCTCCTTGCTAGCCCAGTCTGCCCCCAACTCCCTTCACCCCAGCCCCACCTCCCAGTCCCCAGTACCCCAGGTCTCTTGAGTCTACACTGAGCCCCTCCCCACCCACTCCCTGAGCCCTTTCACCCACTGCCTCCCTTGTGGGGTCACTTGTCCTGTACAGCATTGACCCTGACCCCAAAGTAGCCTGAGGACTCTCTCAGGCCAGGGCTCCTTCAGTCAGCATTATACTCCCTGTGTTTCCGCCCCTCACTACCACCCAGAGCTTGGCACAGTTATGGTTTCTGTAAGTACGAGGAGTGGGAGAGGCCACAGTCTGGATAGTTTGTACTGTGTGTGCACCTGCAGGGGTGGGATGAAGGCTCAAATGTATTTAGAAACCCTGATCTGGCGCAGGGAGGGGACAAGGAATTCCTATTGTCAGGAATCCTCCACCTAAGGGGGAGTCACAGCCCCGTCCTCAGGGAGCCCCAGTCTGAGGGAGACACAGCTCCATCTTCAGGGAGCCCCAGTCTGAGGGGAGCCCCAGTCTGAGGGGAGACACAGCCCCATCCTCAGGGAACCCCAGTCTGGGGGGAGATGCAGCCCTGTCCTCAGGGAGCCCCAGCCTGAGGGGAGCCCCAGTCTGAGGGGGACGCAGCCCCGTCTGAGGGGAACCCCAGTCTGAGGGGGACGCAGCCCCGTCCTCAGAGAGCCCCAGTCTGAGGGGAGATGCAGCCCTGTCCTCAGGGAGCCCCAGTCTGGGGGAGCCCCAGTCTGAGGGGGACGCAGCCCCGTCCTCAGGGAGCCCCAGTCTGAGGGGAGCCCCAGTCTGAGGGGGACGCAGCCCCGTCCTCAGGGAGCCCCAGTCTGAGGGGAGATGCAGGCCCGTCCTCAGGGAGCCCCAGTCTGAGGGGGATGCAGCCCCGTCCTCAGGGAGCCCCAGTCTGAGGGGGACGCAGCCCCGTCCTCAGGGAGCCCCAGTCTGAGGGGAGCCCCAGTCTGAGGGAGACAGCCCCGTCCTCAGGGAGCCGCAGTCTGAGGGGAGACACAGCCCCGTCCTCAGGGAGCCCCAGTCTGAGGGGGACGCAGCCCCGTCCTCAGAGAGTCCCAGTCTGAGGGGAGACGCAGCCCCGTCCTCAGGGAGCCCCAGTCTGAGGGGGACGCAGCCCCGTCCTCAGGGAGGCTCAGTCTGAAGATAGTTTTATGTCCACAGCTCTGCTCAGAGTAGGTGACAGCACTGCCCTGGGGTGCGGGGGGGGGCCAGATTGGTCTTCAGGGCCCTGTCGTCACCCCTCCCGCACCTCTGGGGAGTACTGGCTTCCATAGCCTCTCTCCCTGCCCCAGACACACCTTCTGCCCAAGTTCCCAGCAGTGACCTTGCGTGTTGTCTGCTTTCATTCTGGAAACAGAAACTGAGGGGGATTTCTCCGTCTCTCTGCCCCCCAAGCCCCGCAGCTGCTGCATTTAGGAGCAGCGTTTGAGAGCCTGTACCAGGAGAAGAGGGGAGAAGGGAGAAGGGAGAAGGGAGAGGGGAGAAGGGAGAGGGGAGAAGGGGGAGGGGAGAAGGGGGAGGGGAGAAGGG